TTTCGTAACCTGGTCATGATTAATCCGAAGTTAGTTTTATCATTTTGGTTAAACTTATGACAGACAAGTTACATTTGTGGGTTACAAACTTACAAGCTTTATATTAACTAATATTGCCTATTAGGCAAAATGCCTCCAAGAAGCACATAATTATTGCTTATTAATGCCTCTGGTTCTGGATGTCACAGGGGTCTCTTGCTCATGCCCGACTTGCTGGCTGCCTGACTTGGGGGCAGCGAGAGGCAACTATCTCAGCAGGAGCCCCAGAGTGCAGCCCAGCTACCATCCTCGCTCCCTGGGGGGAGCAGTGGTAGGGCCAGACTCCCTGCCAGGGGCCAGTCCCCTGGGTCATGCAGGGTCCTGTGGGCAGCTGTGCAGCAGTATACGTCCCGAGGATCTTCATGCAGTCAAATGGCTGTGGCACTTTAAGGAAGGCACCAGTATTCTGAGTGGGAGATTACAATGTGCTGCGTTTCACCAGGAGAATATTTTTATTCTTCCAGAGGGGAGGGAGGACCTGCCATCAGCTGCACCGCCTTCACCCCTCCTACCGCACTGTACTCACGTAAGGGACTCTACTGCCTCCTGCCCAGGGTTCATTCAACACGGCAGGGTCCTGGCTGCACAGCGGGACAGGGGAGTGAAGCCTTGAGTGGGACCAATTCCTGCTCCTAAGGCTTAGCAACAGGCTCTGCGTAACAGTGAATCCTCCGAAAGAGAAGGGTCTGGGAAGTCACACAGAGATCTGCCCTGGAAAGGGTTGCGGTTTCCAACAGCACAGTTCTGCAGAGGGTTCCCATGGCACAGCTCTGCAGAGGACCAACCAAAAGATACCATGTTCAGTTCAGGAGCTTTGCTAGCAGGGATGTCATGAGAGAATGCAAGGGAGGGAAGGAGGGAGGGAGGGAAGAGTGTCGGGGTGACAGTATTTGGACATGGGGAGCACTGGATTTGCAGCTGAATAAAAGGCAATAACCTGTGGCTTAGCAGAGCTGCTGACCAGAAGGCAGAATGGTATGTTAAAAGTAACACTGCAAGACACTTAGGCAAGCATTTTCCTCACAATAGAGTAGTGTTGTAAGAGATATAGCTCACTGTGTACAAGAAACAAGATGTAGACCTCTAGCTATCATGAGGAGATAAAGCACAAGCAAGACCTTGGAGATGGTGAAGACATCAGCAAGAAACTTCAAGTGACGGAGAGAAGCAGAGGTCAGGGTTTTAGGCATGCACTCATAGCAAAAAGACATGTAAATGAGTGACATGCAAAGGCAACTGCATGCTAATAAAGTAAGCCGTAAACAAAGGCGGAGCTTAAGATGGGAAGGACTAAGGGTGGAGCAAAGGAGAGACAAAGGTCGGGTAAATGTTACTGAGTATCAACCAAGGTATATAAATATGAAACGAAATCATATTCACTGCAGCTCCTGTTTATTGAAGCTGGCCTGAAGCTGTCTGCACTTGGAATAAAGCAGTTGACAAGCAATTTGTGCATCGATCCATTGCCTCCCTAGTTTCGGGCATCGCATAGAGTCGGGGTCTAACAAAGAGCTCAGGGGGTGGCAGTAGCAGCTCCTGGCAGACCCCACTGGGCATGGGCAGC